ATATTTCTGTTAAAGCTGGATTGGGGACTGACGTGGTAAAAATGTGTATTACTTTTTTGTATTTAACTGGGGATTTTTGTTGTTTTTGTTGATCTTTTTCATGTTAGATTATAGACTTTTTAAGTGGAATTTTCACTGTCGCTCAGCACTGGCCTGTCTCTGTTCCACTGAAGTCAATGAGACTATTCTCATGAATAAATTGTATTTAAATGTTTGTAGGTGCATGTGACCCATTTGCAAAAAAACAGAAGACTGAGAGGTGATAAGATGGAAATGTAGGGGGAAAAGTATATAACATTGATTTTAAGGAATGGCTCTGTGTTTTATCTGTAAAATAGCTAGGAATGAGGGTGAGGGCTGTATCATGTCAGTCAACAAGAAGACGGGGAAATCATCTAAAAGAGTATGCCAGTGTCAGGCTGCATCTTGGGAAGCACAGGACTGAGAGGAAAGCATTCAGTCCCTACACCTGCTCTTGCTGATGTCTGCAAGAGATCTGACATTACCTTTATGAGAACTTGACCAGATTCTAAAACAGGTAGAATAGAAGCTTTGAGAAAAACTGTATTTTTTAGTCCATTGGTGACTCTTCATTTTCGAAGACTGAGCTTGCAATATTTTGGGGGTTGTAACTACATTTAAACATTACAGCAAGAAATATATGGCAGTCATGCACATCAAGAAATCTAAAAGCCTTCAGACATGGGCGACTGGTGTCACCTTAGTCAGGGGGGGCACATGACCCCCCCCCCCCCCCCCCCCCCCCCACACGCAACCAGTTCCACCAACTGGGGGGGGGAGTCATCCCACAACCGATCTCGCTGCCCAGGGGCACCCCCACAGCCGATTGCTGCAGCCACTTCCAGGAATGGCTGCAGTGATTGCCCGGTGCTTTCAGGGGGGCACCAGTGCTCCTGCCTGCCCCCCACAGCCCATCACATAAGTATGGCTGGTGCACCGGTGCTCTCAGGGGTTCACATGCACCTTCATGTGTCCCCCTACACATCACTACTGCCTTCAGACAATCTATTGTACGGTGGACAGGAAACACTACCGACACTTTGTCATTTGTTAAACCACTTTCTTGCCATTCATACAGCATGCACTGCTAATGCATTGTGTCCTTTCTAGTTTATCACTTCCAGCAGCATATATGAGAGACCCTGAAGTGTGGCTGACTTTAAATGATGACCATCCAAACTGCACCTCTCCCTTGCCACACAAAATAAAACAAACTATGTCGATACCATGCATATATGTTAATGTACGTGAAAGGCAAGGATTTTTTGTGATATCTCTTATTGAACCAACTGTATAGTTAGGAAAGCTGCTGGACATGTTTTCAGGCACCAGGTGCCCTTTCTCAGGTCACCATTCAGCCAAAATTACAAGAAGGAACATGTATTGAAGATTGAGGTGCTAGTACATTTTGGCTCTGTTGACCTGGGAAAGATATTTTGCATTACTTCTTTTGGAAAGAAGCTCCAAAAGAAATCCTCCTTATTATCCTCTATAATATTTTCAGTGTTAACAAAAACCCAAAGGTTTCTTTTTAAAAAGTGTGCAATTACTATAATAGTGCACCCACAGGACAGGTTGCCTAGCTACCAGACTTGCACACAGCTGCAGCACTTTGGCATGCAAATTTGGAGCCTGATCCTGCAAATATGCACTCATAAGGCATAGACAGATGTAACGATTGTGTTGCTCTCAAAAGATATACAAGCAGTTGTGATACAACTGTTACGTTTGCATGGTTCTGTAGCCATACAAGTGTAGCAAAGCCACTCTAACCTGAACTTTGTTTCATTCAGGATCAAAGCACAATTTAGCTAACCTGCATTACTACAGGCCAAACATTTAGATCATAACAGCTATTGCACACTCCCAAGCAACTACTTCACCTTCCTTTTTAAAGCAGCTGAAAGGTACATTTGTCCACACTCACAGATGCACAGGGCTAGAAGGGACCTCCTGGTTTACTGAGTCTAGTCCCTTTCTATTGAGATACCATGTCACATAATCCTGTTCATGACCTGTTCAAGTTACAATCCTAAAAGTAGGTTTTCTACCACAGGTGACTGGGGGGCATGTGCCCCCCCCAAGATTGGCCCCTGACTCAGCACTGCTCAGGACAGCAAACCATGGCCCCATGGTTGAGATTTGGACCCACCCCCCGTCTGGCGGGTGGAGGTAGATCTACCTGTGTTCCGGCTGGTGGTCCGCAGTGTGCCGGGCAGGCTGCTTCCAGTCCACAATTGTGCCTCCCCAGACTCAGAAGGCACCAGTCACCTCTGTTCTACCCTACTGTTCTTACTGGATGCTTTACCAGACCCTCACTCCTCTGACGGCAAGAAAACTACTACTTATCAGCCTGATTTTTTTTTTTTTTCACAACTGGGTTATACCCATTTTTTGTGCCACACTTTTCCTTGCTTAAACAGTTCTGTGTTGTTTATCTCTTGATGTATTTCTGGAAAGAAATCTTACCTCCTCTCTGCCTTCATTTTGCTGAGCTAAACAAGGCTTGCAAGTTCTCAGAGGATGCACTCTATTGGTCATCTACACTTTTTCGAGTTTAAGTTCGTCTTTCCTGAAGATGGGTGACCAGAATTGTAAACGGTTTTCCATATGAAATCTTGTGGGTGCCTTGTAAAATGGCATTATATTTTTCTATCTATACTGGAAATACTTTGCCTAATACATACTGCTATGGGAGCACAGAAGGGGATAAACTAAGGATGAAGACTCGGCTTGCTTTTTGTTGATTAGTTCAAACCCTAAGATTAAGTGAAAACTGCGTACATCTGTCTTCCTATAGTACTTATTTGGCCCTCACCAATTTAGTATCTAAGCATGTCATAATATGCCTTTTTGATGGTTGCATCACACTGATGGCTCCTACTATTCCTGTAGTTGACTAATATACCAGAAGTTCTTGCTTTTAGTTCCTATGTTGCCTTGTATTTGGTACTATACATTTTTAGCCTGTTCCTATTACTACAGCATTCTGGGATATCCCATTCTCTCTATATAATATAGTAACTCACTCACTTTCCTAATTTTATTGGATGCTCCCAGTGTTAAATAAGATTGGTCCCAAGGCCTATCCTTGAGGATCTTCACTAATCTTCCTCCAGCCTGTTAGTCCCCTTTCAACACAGATCATCCTGTCCTCTTCAGATGATTCCTTATTCACCATAAATTTTTGTACAAGTTTCCAGAACCTTCACTTGTGTGACTGACTTTATTCTCATTGAAGTACTCCTCACTTGAGGATCAGGCCATCAGAACTACTCCCTCCCAAATTTTGATACCAAAAGTAGAAGATCCAATTTTCCAGAGAGGAAGGCAGGATCAGTCATTAGAGCACTAGTCAAGACTCTGGGAGGTCTAGGCCTACCCTGCCAGAAATATCCCTTGAGATCTGGTCAAGTCAGTTAGCCTCACTGTATCACCGTTACTGATTTGTGAGGAATAATGGTACTGCCACGCCTCACCGGGAAGACTGTGTAAACAGAGTAAAGATTATGACATGCTCAGATACTACATTGGTGAAGGCCAAATAAGTACTAAAAGTAGACTGCTATTCACTGGTTTCACCTGATCTTAAGATGTGAACAGACCAGAAAACAGTGAGAAATGTCAAGCTGAGGCTGAGTCTTCATCCTGAATTTGTCCTTCCTCACACCTGCAGCAGCATGAATAAAGGCCAGCATTATACATTGAATCATGTCATTTCATCACTTAATATCTGACATTTGTGCTTGTTCATTTGTGAGCCTCAGTGCTTCAGCTATACTAATAGACAGCCCCTCTGATGATCGGTTACAGGAAACAGATGCAGCTATATTTATTAGCTATAGAAATAATGTCTATAATTAAATTTGCCCTCTGCTTTAAAACTTGCAATGAAGTAAACACTTTTTCATGCAGCATTTGTATGTGGTTTTATTAACACTTTAACAAATGCTTGTGAATAACCATACACTTGCTACAGAATTAGAAATGTGCATTGCGTTTGAGCACAACTTCCTTCACACAGTGGATTGGTTAAATGCTTTTTCCCATGTCTTTACACCTGCATTTTCATCAAATCAAAAATTAGTTTTGATAGTACCCTTTTATGACCTGTTTTAGAAGAACTTTACTAGACCAGGGGTGGGCAATTCTTTGGACTGGAGGGCCACTTCAGAAGTTTTGGTGAGCTGTTGAGCTGGGAAGGGGGTGCTGACACAGCCTTGGCACCCGGTCACGGATGTTCACACTGCACAGCTCAAGGCTGGGGGGCTGGGAGATGCCAATTAATCCTATTTTATCCAGGCTCAGGCATGTCCACCGTGCATCCACCGCTGGGGGTGCTGGACAGAGCAGGTGGGTGCAGTCTCCATAGAGACTGGCCCAGCACCCTGTCTCCCCCATCCACGGGCAGGGGGCGCTCAGTTGGGCAGATGGGATGGAGCTGCAGGTGGGTGGGGAATGGTGTCCAGGAGTGGCACAGGTGGACAGGGCTGGGGTCAGGGCTAGGATCATGGGGTAATGACAGCCTGGGGCCCCAGGGTAGAGCCATGATCTGCTCCCTGCAGAACTGGCACCCACCATAGGGACAGGCAGCCTCCAAAACCAGTGTCTGCCACAGGGACATGTGAAGAGCAGATCATGCTATCAGTTGAACAGGACCAGCTGTACATGCCACGGCCCCCAGACTTGGGCTGGACAGGTCCAAGGTACATGCTGTGGGCTGGGTAGAATCACTTGAGCCAGATCCAGCCCAGAAGCCATATTTTGCCCACCCCGTACTAGACCCAGAGGGAGTAATAACAGGGAGAGATTTTTGCATTTAAACAATCAGCATTTATAACCGACTATATAACCATTATTATCCCATGCTCCCAGAATTATTGTTTGTTTCAACCCATTCCATCTACTTTTCTGGATTTCCTAGCTTATTCTAAAACAGCACACGTAGTTTCAGTCCCATTCAGTACAAGAACACTTACCTTTATGTAGCACGACCAGATTGGAACAGAAAACTACTTCACAGGTTACAGGAGCCCCCAAGCAGCGCACAAGTGACTGATAATACAACCACTGAAGCCTGGGAAGAGAAGAATAAGTTACCCAGTTGAAACTACAGGGAGGGTATGTTGGTGGATAATATGTAATTATCCAAGATAGCCCAGGGCTCCCACCTACTTCTAACACCTCTACTATGGCAAGTACACTGCAACGGAATGTAGTGTTACAAGTTTGCTTCAGAGTTGCTCCCTGAATCATTTTTAGTGGCCCATATGTTTTATTTTGAATTAACATGAGAACAGGATTAAGTTAATTGGTTGCTTTTTTGCTGCTTTTTTTTTTTTTTTTTTAAGTACATATAGCTTCAGAGAGGCTACCCCAAATCTAAGAGACCTGAGGAAGGGTACTTCATTCCTGAAAGCTTGTCTGTATTCCTTCCAACTATATAGCTGGTCCAATAAACAATAATACCCACAAAAATCCTTGCTCCTAACCCAGGTTTATTGTTTTCTAATGTGGCCTATAATTTTTTAAAACTATAAGAAGAAAAGATTTTGCTGGCTGTTCGCTAAACCCATGACACTTCCCCTTGTCCGGTCTGGAAATAAACTGGAATTCGTTGGTGATTCTGAGGTTGAGGGTTTTGCAGGTGATGTTCAGATTGCTACAGCCCCTTCTCCTAGGAGTCAGAAGATTCATGGAAACATCTTGAAGGGGATGAAGTCTTACTCCACTTTCCTTTCTAAGACTAACCATCATGGTGGGGAAGGGAATTGAAAAGATATGTGAACCAGTGTACAGACAATATATTTACTGAAGTCAGTGATATATTTGATGACTTTTCATCTGTTTGGAAATGGTCAGGTTTTTTGAATTAGGTAATAAGGAGACCTGAGCAAAACAGGCTGCGTCTACACAAGACACAGACTGTGTAGTCATTACTGTGCACTCATTTAGTACTTTTTCTAAACAAGTACTAAATGGCTGCACAGCTACCTGAGTTACTGCCCAGTAGCACTGATGAACAGCTTATTTGTGACCGTGACTATGCAGAAGCCCAAGACTACTGCGGAGTAGCACTGCATCATGGTTCTACCATGTGATGCTACTGTGCAGTAGCCTTGGGCTACTGTGCAGGCAGTGTCTTGTGTAGACATGGCCACAGTAGCTATAAGGTTTTATCCAGGATTTTCTGTATAATTGTGCTTATGGATGAACTGCACTTTTTATGCACTGTTTTCCTTGCCCCATTCACTTAAAGTGCCTGTAATCTCTAGACAGAAAGACATCTGCTTCCAACAAGGGGAAAGACAATTCCAGCAGCGTGCGAGGGAGAGAAACTTATGTGTAGGCATGTCCCCTACCAGGAGGCCAGCTCTGTTCTCCAAACTTATTGGTATTTAGTCTCTTGCCTCCCTGATGATCAATTATTTATTAATCAGGAGCAATGTTTTGCCATTTTTGCTTGGTAATGTGAATTGTGGGCTTGATGTATGCCCACTGTTTGAGAGTTGCTTCTAACAGCCATTAAGTATTCTGCCATAAGAAGGGCTGCTTTAACTTACAGACAGGGCTCATGTTCAGTCCTTGTTAGACAAGAACAGTGAATAAGCATAGATGACCTGTTGATATAAACTGGCCACCTATAGACCCTATATGAGAGCAGAGGCTATGGGCATTTTGCTGTTGCCATCCTCTTGACAGAACTTCCCATTGCCTGGAGTCCCACTGAATAGAGCGCTGTAGACTGGTGACACTTGCTGTAACTTCCCCATAGCCTATTGCTCCTAAACATTAAACGCATTTCCCCTAAATATCTTTTAAAGGAGTCACTCAACTTGCTGTTCACCTGTCTTCTGCAAGGTTATCTCTCATCCTCTAGAAAAATCATGGTACTTAGTCATTCCAAAGTTATTTCAGATTATGCAGGAACTATTCACCTAAGTGGATCTATTCAGTGCTGATATGTTAATGCTATTGATGATTCAGAGGTTCAGATAAACCTTTGAATTTACAGCGCTCTTAAATTACTTTTGTAAGAAAAGGCAGATGATTACAAGTCTGTGCATGCTTTTGAGCATCTGATCCTCCTTATTCACGTTTTCATCATCCTCTTTTCAATGACATTAATTATGGCAAGAGATTGTATCACCCATTACTCCACCAAAGAAGGGAAGAGGAAATAATTTTCCTGAAAATCTGGATCTGTCTCTAAATTTAACTTAGGGGAATGTTGGAAGAGTAATGCTCAATCATTTGAATCAGAAGAAGATGCTCATTTTTCTCCATTCTTGCTTTTTGCAAACAACTATTTATGTATGTATTACTGTCCTTGTAATTGAAACCAACAGACAATTTCACACAATCAGCAATTGCTTTGTTTTTTTCCAGCAACAAAGCTTACCCACAGCTTCTTGGGACTAGAGATGTTTATAAATTTTCTTTGGAGCTTTTTGCATGTTCTTGCTTTGTGACAGCATGATTCTGATATAAGTGCTGGTGAAAATCAGGAATGGCTCTGCTGAGGTGAGTAAAATGACACTGGTGTAAGTGTGAAGGAAATCAGGCCCTCTGAGGGTGACTCTGAGCTGGGGGTTTCAAATTAATTCAGAACCCAATTGTAACCTCCCCCAATCTCAACATAAATCATAAATAACAGAAGAACTATTTGTAGAACAATAAGTTTTCTGGAGGGAGTTGGAGGAGGGTGAACTCTAGGGAATAAACATTGGCTTCAGAGGAGACCCCCATACCAAACCCTCATATGATAGAAAATGGGATATGTTCCACCTATCCTTGAGATTATCATATTAGAACTGCAGTGCTCATACGGCCAAGTTCTTTCAAAGCCAATCAGATAGCATTTAGAGACATGACCCTAGGTAGGATTTATGCAACACTTGCATTCAAATCAGAGAATCTGGCATATCTGAGGAAGCAGTGAAGACACTGTGCCAGCTGCTATGAAACATGGACAAAAGGCATCTGAAGGGGTTTGGAATAGTACCTCAGCTAACCAGGATAGTGCTATGATAAAACTAAACCATGAGACTTCTTCTAAGTTTTTAATAATGATTTTACAAATAGTTACCATGTATGTGCTTGACGGGGGCATACTGAGAGAGAGAGAGAGAGAGACCTAGTGGGGGCTGTATGTACATAAATATTTATACCCTAAACATGTGTTACGGATATGTGTATTTTGAAATGCTAAGGTTAATAATCTTCATGCAGTGTCCCCAACAGAGCATGCTCAGTTTCAGAGTAATTATAAAGGCCTAGGTCTGTCTGTCTGTAATGCTTTATTCATGCTCTGATTGGCTGACAAACAGCCCATCAGAGTGTGAACAAGCATTCCAACAGGAGCTGGCGGCCAGTGGAGGGCCACCATGATGGTGGAGGGGGGTGGGGGGGCAAAGCCAGCACATCTGGCCTTGCCCGCCCATCTGCTCCATGCAGGTGGCAAGGATGGAGCAGAGCTGGGGGGTTGAGGCCACTGGAGCTGGCCTCGCCCCTGCCCTTATTCCTTGCAGCTGATGGTGATGGCATGGGGGGAAGTGGGGGAGGAGCAGGCCCGACATGGGTTGAGGGACTAGCAAGCTGTCT